AGCACAAGCCGTGATACTGTGAAAACATCTGAAATGTCAATTGCAACAACTGAACAAAGCACTACACTTTTGCCAACAACCTCATCAACAACTCAATCAACAACCGTTGTGGCATCAACATCCACAAATACTATTCCTATTACAATCACAACATCTGAACTGCCATTTACAACAACTGGACAAAGCACTACACTTTTGCCAACAACCACATCAACAACTCAATCAACAACCGTTGTGGCATCAACATCCACAAATACTATTCCTATTACAATCACAACATCTGAACTGCCATTTACAACAACTGGACAAAGCACTACACTTTTGCCAACAACCTCATCTACAGTTCAAACAACATCTGTTTTGCCATCAACTTCTACAAGCAAAAGCCACGATACTGTGACAACAACTGAAATGTCAATTACAACAACTGGAAAAATCACTAAACTTTTGCCAACAACCTCATCTACAGTTCAAACAATATCTGTTTTGCCAACTTCTACAAGCAAAAGCCACGATACTGTGACAACATCTGAAATATCAATTACAACAACTGGACAAAGCACTACACTTTTGCCAACAACCTCATCTACAGTTCAAACAACATCTGTTTTGCCATCAACTTCTACAAGCACAAGCCATGACGCTGTGACAAAATCTGAAATGTCAATCACAACAACTGAACAAAGCACTACAGTTTTGCCAACAACCTCATCTACAGTTCAAACAACATCTGTTTTGCCATCAACTTCTACAAGCACAAGCCATGACGCTGTGACAAAATCTGAAATGTCAATCACAACAACTGAACAAAGCACTACAGTTTTGCCAACAACCTCATCTACAGTTCAAACAACATCTGTTTTGCCATCAACTTCTACAAGCACAAGCCATGACGCTGTGACAAAATCTGAAATGTCAATCACAACAACTGAACAAAGCACTACACTTTTGCCAACAACCTCATCTACAGTTCAAACAACATCTGTTTTAACAACTTCTACAAGCACAAGCCGTGACGCTGCGACAACATCTGAAATGCCAATTACAACAACTGAACAAAGCACTACACTTTTGCCAACAACCTCATCTACAGTTCAAACAACATCTGTTTTGCCATCAACTTCTACAAGCACAAGCTATGACGCTGTGACAACATCTGAAATGTCAATCACAACAACTGAACAAAGCACTACACTTTTGCCAACAACCTCATCTACAGTTCAAACAACATCTGTTTTGCCATCAACTTCTACAAGCACAAGCCGTGACGCTGTGACAAAATCTGAAATGTCAGTTACAACAACTGAAGAAAGCACTACACTTTTGCCAACAACCTCATCTACAGTTCAAACAACATCTGTTTTGCCATCAACTTCTACAAGCACAAGCCGTGATGCTGTGAAAACATCTGAAATGTCGATTACAACAATTGGACAAAGTACTAAACTTTTGCCAACAACCTCATCTACAGTTCAAACAACATCTGTTTTGCCAACTTCTACAAGCACAATAAGTGATGCTGTGACAACATCTGAAATGTCACTTACAACAACTGAACAAAGCACTACAACTTTGCCAACAACCTCATCTACAGTTCAAACAACATCTGTTTTGCCATCAACTTCTACAAGCACAAGCCGTGATACTGTGAAAACATCTGAAATGTCAATTGCAACAACTAATAAAGGCACTACACTTTTGCCAACAACCACATCAACAACTCAATCAACAACCGTTGTGGCATCAACATCCACAAATACTATTCCTATTACAATCACAACATCTGAACTGCCATTTACAACAACTGGACAAAGCACTACACTTTTGCCAACAACCTCATCTACAGTTCAAACAACATCTGTTTTGCCATCAACTTCTACAAGCAAAAGCCACGATACTGTGACAACAACTGAAATGTCAATTACAACAACTGGAAAAATCACTAAACTTTTGCCAACAACCTCATCTACAGTTCAAACAATATCTGTTTTGCCAACTTCTACAAGCAAAAGCCACGATACTGTGACAACATCTGAAATATCAATTACAACAACTGGACAAAGCACTACACTTTTGCCAACAACCTCATCTACAGTTCAAACAACATCTGTTTTGCCAACTTCTACAAGCAAAAGCCGTGATGCTGTGACAACAACTGAAATGTCAATTACAACAACTGGACAAAGCACTACAACTTTGCCAACAACCTCATCTACAGTTCAAACAACATCTGTTTTGCCAACTTCTACAAGCAAAAGCCGTGATGCTGTGACAACAACTGAAATGTCAATTACAACAACTGGAAAAATCACTAAACTTTTGCCAACAACCTCATCTACAGTTCAAACAACATCTGTTTTGCCAACTTCTACAAGCAAAAGCCACGATACTGTGACAACATCTGAAATATCAGTTACAACAACTGGACAAAGCACTAAACTTTTGCCAACAACCTCATCTACAGTTCAAACAACATCTGTTTTGCCAACTTCTACAAAAACAAGCCAAAATGCTGTGACAACATCTGAAATGTCAATTACAACAACTGGACAAAGCACTACAACTTTGCCAACAACCTCATCTACAGTTCAAACAACATCTGTTTTGCCAACTTCTACAAGCAAAAGCCGTGATGCTGTGACAACAACTGAAATGTCAATTACAACAACTGGAAAAATCACTAAACTTTTGCCAACAACCTCATCTACAGTTCAAACAACATCTGTTTTGCCAACTTCTACAAGCAAAAGCCGTGATGCTGTGACAACAACTGAAATGTCAATTACAACAACTGGAAAAATCACTACACTTTTGCCAACAACCTCATCTACAGTTCAAACAACATCTGTTTTGCCATCTTCTACAAGCACAAGCCGTGATGCTGTGACAACATCTGAAACGTCAATTACAACAACTGGACGAAGCACTAAACTTTTGCCAACAACCTCATCTACAGTTCAAACAACATCTGTTTTGCCAACTTCTACAAGCAAAAGCCACGATACTGTGACAACATCTGAAATATCAATTACAACAACTGGACAAAGCACTACACTTTTGCCAACAACCTCATCTACAGTTCAAACAACATCTGTTTTGCCAACTTCTACAAGCACAAGCCGTGATACTGTGAAAACATCTGAAATGTCAATTGCAACAACTGAACAAAGCACTACACTTTTGCCAACAACCTCATCAACAACTCAATCAACAACCGTTGTGGCATCAACATCCACAAATACTATTCCTATTACAATCACAACATCTGAACTGCCATTTACAACAACTGGACAAAGCACTACACTTTTGCCAACAACCACATCAACAACTCAATCAACAACCGTTGTGGCATCAACATCCACAAATACTATTCCTATTACAATCACAACATCTGAACTGCCATTTACAACAACTGGACAAAGCACTACACTTTTGCCAACAACCTCATCTACAGTTCAAACAACATCTGTTTTGCCATCAACTTCTACAAGCAAAAGCCACGATACTGTGACAACAACTGAAATGTCAATTACAACAACTGGAAAAATCACTAAACTTTTGCCAACAACCTCATCTACAGTTCAAACAATATCTGTTTTGCCATCTTCTACAAGCACAAGCCGTGATGCTGTGACAACATCTGAAATATCAATTACAACAACTGGACAAAGCACTACACTTTTGCCAACAACCTCATCTACAGTTCAAACAACATCTGTTTTGCCAACTTCTACAAGCAAAAGCCACGATACTGTGACAACATCTGAAATATCAATTACAACAACTGGACAAAGCACTAAACTTTTGCCAACAACCTCATCTACAGTTCAAACAACATCTGTTTTGCCAACTTCTACAAAAACAAGCCAAAATGCTGTGACAACATCTGAAATGTCAATTACAACAACTGGACAAAGCACTACAACTTTGCCAACAACCTCATCTACAGTTCAAACAACATCTGTTTTGCCAACTTCTACAAGCAAAAGCCGTGATGCTGTGACAACAACTGAAATGTCAATTACAACAACTGGAAAAATCACTACACTTTTGCCAACAACCTCATCTACAGTTCAAACAACATCTGTTTTGCCATCTTCTACAAGCACAAGCCGTGATGCTGTGACAACATCTGAAACGTCAATTACAACAACTGGACGAAGCACTAAACTTTTGCCAACAACCTCATCTACAGTTCAAACAACATCTGTTTTGCCAACTTCTACAAGCACAAGCCGTGATACTGTGAAAACATCTGAAATGTCAATTGCAACAACTAATAAAGGCACTACACTTTTGCCAACAACCACATCAACAACTCAATCAACAACCGTTGTGGCATCAACATCCACAAATACTATTCCTATTACAATCACAACATCTGAACTGCCATTTACAACAACTGGACAAAGCACTACACTTTTGCCAACAACCTCATCTACAGTTCAAACAACATCTGTTTTGCCAACTTCTACAAGCAAAAGCCACGATACTGTGACAACATCTGAAATGTCAATTACAACAACTGGAAAAATCACTAAACTTTTGCCAACAATCTCATCTACAGTTCAAACAACATCTGTTTTGCCAACTTCTACAAGCAAAAGCCACGATACTGTGACAACATCTGAAATATCAATTACAACAACTGGACAAAGCACTAAACTTTTGCCAACAACCTCATCTACAGTTCAAACAACATCTGTTTTGCCAACTTCTACAAGCAAAAGCCACGATACTGTGACAACATCTGAAATATCAATTACAACAACTGGACAAAGCACTAAACTTTTGCCAACAACCTCATCTACAGTTCAAACAACATCTGTTTTGCCAACTTCTACAAGCACAATCAATGACGCTGCGACAACATCTGAAATGTCAGCTACAACAACTGGACAAAGTACTAAACTTTTGCCAACAACCTCATCTACAGTTCAAACAACATCTGTTTTGCCAACTTCTACAAGCACAAGCCGTGATGCTGTGACAACATCTGAAATGTCAATTACAACAACTGGACAAAGCACTACACCTCTGCCAACAACCTCATCTACAGTTCAAACAACATCTGTTTTGCCAACTTCTACAAGCAAAAGCCACAATACTGTGACAACAACTGAAACGTCAATTACAACAACTGGACGAAGCACTAAACTTTTGCCAACAACCTCATCTACAGTTCAAACAACATCTGTTTTGCCAACTTCTACAAGCACAAGCCGTGATGCTGTGACAACATCTGAAATGTCAATTACAACAACTGGACAAAGCACTACACCTCTGCCAACAACCTCATCTACAGTTCAAACAACATCTGTTTTGCCAACTTCTACAAGCACAAGCCGTGATGCTGTGACAACATCTGAAATGTCAATTACAACAACTGGACAAAGCACTACACCTCTGCCAACAACCTCATCTACAGTTCAAACAACATCTGTTTTGCCAACTTCTACAAGCACAAGCCGTGATGCTGTGACAACATCTGAAATGTCAATTACAACAACTGGACAAAGCACTACACCTCTGCCAACAACCTCATCTACAGTTCAAACAACATCTATTTTGCCAACTTCTACAAGCACAAGCCGTGATGCTGTGACAACATCTGAAATGTCAATTACAACAACTGGACAAAGCACTACACCTCTGCCAACAACCTCATCTACAGTTCAAATAACATCTGTTTTGCCATCAACTTCTACAAGCACAAGCCGTGATACTGTGAAAACATCTGAAATGTCAATTACAACAACTGGAAAAATCCCTAAACTTTTGCCAACAATCTCATCTACAGTTCAAACAACATCTGTTTTGCCAACTTTTACAAAAACAAGCCAAAATGCTTCAACAACATCTGAAATGTCAATTACAACAGCTGAACAACGTACTACACTTTTGCCAACAACCTCATCTACAGTTCAAACAACATCTGTTTTGCCAATTTCTACAAGCAAAAGCCGTGACGCTGCGACAACATCTGAAATGTCAATTACAACAACTGAACAAAGTACTAAACTTTTGCCAACAACCTCATCTACAGTTCAAACAACATCTGTTTTGCCAATTTTTACAAGCAAAAGCCGTGACGCTGCGACAACATCTGAAATTTCAGTTACAACAACTGGAAAAAGCACTAAACTTTTGCCAACAACCTCATCTACAGTTCAAACAACATCTGTTTTGCCATCAACTTCTACAAGCAAAAGCCATGATACTGTGACAACATCTGAAATGTCAATTGCAACAACTAATAAAGGCACTACACTTTTGCCAACAACCACATCAACGACTCGATCAACAACCGTTGTGGCATCAACATCCACAAATACTATCCCTATTACAAAAACAACATCTGAACTGTCATTTACAACAACTGGACAAAACACTACACTTTCCCCAACAACAACTGCTAAACGAAATGTGTATTTGACCACTAAGTCAAAAGAAACGCCAACAAATACCACCCTAGCATCTCTAGATCCTGCAACGGAGAAAGAAGGATTCATTTATATCAGATTCAGAATAGTGAGGACTTTTGTTCCAGACTACAACGATAAAGTTTCTTCTGCTTATAAAGCACTGGAAAGAAATGTAACAACTGAGGTAAATCACTAACTTTTCAGCAAACATTTTATATTGAAGTGCCCCATTATGCTATTTCCTGATGTTGTTTTGGTGTCTCCTACAGCAGGTTTACATCCGTCAAAGTATTTTATTTCCTCATAAAACACATTTGTACATCACTTTTTTTTTAATGATTCTCAAACGACTCATCAGATGAAACAATCTCTCTAAATCCCTCCTTTCCGCAAGCTCAGTCTGTTGTACAACGCGCGTGTCGAAAACAAAAACGGCCATTGCCATTACAACGTCAGCTCTGTGTGTCCTGAGGCTTCCTACGCCGTAAACTAAACAGAAACGAACAATGACGTGGATTTTATCATATCAATCCGAGCACGAGTCTGATGACGAAACATTGGAAGAACTAGTCATTAGGGTTGGGTATCGTTTGAATTTGAACGATTCTGATTCCGATTCCGATTCCTTGTTTCGATTCCGGTTCCTAACGATTCTCGCTTCCGATTCTTTTAAGAAGCAGGGTCAAAAAAGTTTAGCTAACCTTGCTAACCAACGGCCTTTCTGAAGGAAACACTCCTTCTGTAAAAATACTCCTTTTGTCACAAATTTTGCATTTTGCCGAGATTTCGTTATTTTTAGAAAAGTGAAGCCACACTTTGGATCGCCGACGTAAGGTACTCATGTTCGACTCGCGCGGTTATGCCAACACTTCCGGTAGACGCTTCTTCGTTGGTGTTGTTCAGCGGTTTCTTCTTCCGCTCGGCGAACTGTGAATATCGAAACTAGGAATCGAAATATTAACTTTTGAACGATTCCGGGAAAAACGAAAAGGTAGTCTCGGTTCCAATCGATACTCGATTCTCGATACCCAACCCTACTAGTCATTCAAGCCAGGGCAATTCGAGTGGGGCGTTTCTCAGCGATACGCACGCTACTTAGTTTGAGGTACATTACTAGTTGTTGCTGTAATACCTCACACTCAGCATAAACAAGTGCATGTCCATCAACAAGCTGATTATTTTACTTGTACTAATTTATTTTTCTAAGTATTTTTCTAAGATATTGCGATGAACATGTGGAAACTGTATCAATACCAGTGCATGTAGGCCTATACAATGTAGGCTATACATTAGCGGAGCTCTATAGTGAATGACTGATGTAACATAAACATTGGTAAAACAAATCTTGCTCCATGCAAATATACATACATGCAAATACATACAAATCTTGCTCCATGTTCCTCACAGTAACATTAGTGAGAATGACAAACAATCTGCATTAATAGACAGAGTTTTACGACCTGATTAGCTGAATTATTTCAGTAAGTAACCTGAGTTAGCCAGTTAGCAGGAGACCTACAGTACACAATATAAAAGTATATTGAACACCATCTTTCAAGAGCAAGCAGTTTGCAAATCCTGCGTTGAACGCCAAGATTTGAGAAGCAGTCGTCAATAAAATACAGCTAAAGTTTAGGATTATACTGCTGTGAAATTTTAGTAAAGATGAACTTTTAACCACTGATTCTTCACATGCTTGTACTTGGGCAGTGGGAAAAAAAAACTAGCTTTAGCTTCACATTGTAGACTAGAGCATCTTCTCGACATGATGCTATTCAGTATAGGAATCAGCTGCCAGTTTGAGGTTCACGTTTTCTCTGGTGTCTGCGTGCGCAATAAGTGGATGGGAAATATGCGAATGTTTCGTCCTGACATCACAACGAAACGGCTTATGACTCGTTTGAATAACGATTCCTTTAATTGACTCAGAGTCAACTCTTACTTTTGAAAGACAATAACTTTATATATGGTGCACTTTCAGATTTAAACCTTTGCAAGATGTTTTCGTTCACTTAAAGCCACGTTACTCACTAAATTTAAAATCCCAATGCAAATAAATTGTATAAACGTTTATCCTTTAATCATTATATCAAGACAAATAATCTGCATTGTTCTTTGTTATTTCTTTTCCAGCTTAATCGGGGATACACAATAAAATACCCGTATACATTTCTGAGATCGGCTGTCATCCTTTTTTGGTAAGTTATATAAACTCTCAGACTTTTTTTTAAATATCAATGCCATGAACACGTTGTATTTTCCTATAGCTATTATTTTTAAACAATTTACTTCATGCCTTCAGGGTGAAGTATGTAATATTTTTTGGGCCTTATTTTAACATTTTGAAACACAAGTATCAAGCGCAAAGCGCAAGTAACTTTGTGGGCGGTTCTTGGGCACTGTTGCTATTTTTCCGCCGGGATAAATGATTTTGCGCTGACGTTGCGCGTTGTTCATAATTCTATTTTAAGCGCGGAATTGTTTTCTGGAACTGAAAAATCGCACTAGGGAATGTTTGCGCCGAAACACGCCTCCTTTTTGCGCCAACCCGCCCAAGGAGCGCAAGTTCATTTCCTAGTTTACCGACATGCATCTGTGGAGGGAAAAGCCCGCTTTGCGCGGGTGCAAAATTGGAATGATACATGCGTCAGTGTACAAAGTCATTTGCGTCGGGTGCAAGATAGGGCTCTTTATGTTGAAATACATACTCTTAACTCTGTTTATAGTCATTGACAACTATTAAAGGGTTCCTATATGCGTTTTTGCTTTTTCAACTTTAGTTAGTGTGTAATGTTGCTGTTTGAGCATAAAAAAGATTGCCAAGGTTACAAAGCTCAAATTCCACTCCAAATGGAGATATTTTATTTAACAAAATCCACTTCCCAAGAACTACAACGAAAGGCACGTTTGGACCACAACGCAATTTTTCTGGGATTTATGAACCCCACCAATGGAATACGCATAAAAGCGGATGCGGCCTGGATGACCTGTTGCTATCAAAGAGATGCTGTTTTTTCCACAACTCATTTGTTTGACCTTCCTAAGGCTGACAAACATAGAATGCGTAACGTTTATTTTAAACGCTGTTCCTGAACATTATAATCCGATGTTTATCTGTTTAACCACGACGCAGAAAAGCACGACACAAAAGCTTCTCCTGAACCTAATCACCGCCCTTTAGGAAAATTAACCATGTTTTTGTCATCGATTACTCTTTGTATAATCATAGTTTTCCAAAAAAATATCATGATTAAATGGTGGATAACATCGCACCTGTAATGTACAAGAAAAACATACCACTCTGAAACGTCCTGTGAAATCCATGCTGTGCATTTAATCTTTTCTCCTCTTATATGTTATCATTGTCAGGGTCTGAATCAGGTTTGAAATTGCCGCCATTCTTTAAATTTACACTAGAGCAGAACTTGGGGTTATGGAGGGGTGGGACATTTCCCGATTCCCGAACACACATTAAGCGCTGCCAATCACAACATACTAGGCAAGCTAACCAATCACAGCACATTTCATATTTCGGAAGGATGGGCTTCATCGAAACCGGAACTAAACAATGTGTTCGGGACAGACTGGGGAGAGGGGGGGGGGGGGGGATAATGTCTTTTTTGAACAATCAACCATAAAAGCATATTTTTGTACACCCCAAAAACAAAATCAAAACTTCGTAAATAAGCATAATAGGACCCCTTTTGAGAAGGGACCACTCAAATCTACCAGCTCAAACTATAGTGAGAGTTTGGGACATCGCTACTGTAGGAGGCAGAGCCAGAGGATGTTTACCAGTGAGGGACCATGACTGATGCGTTACATGAGAAAAGAAAATCAGCTTTGGTTACAGAATTCACCAAAATTTGCTGCTCTTATACCTTCAAAGATTAAACACGTCAAAACAAACAAGGCATTGCAATGCAACACACGCTTCAATCTCATACAGCATCATCCTGCCCCCGTTCAGAAAGACAAAAGTACTAGTTTATAATGTGTGATTGTTGTCTTTTCGCTAAGTGCCACTAGTGTTGCAGAAACTACATACATTTAATGCAAACTTTAATGCATTTTTAACATCTGAAAAATATATATCTTTCTGCTGCAGTGTACCAACACAAATTGTGTATAGGATGTGTGGTTCCATCATACTAAATATTAACAAAGCTACAACTGATTAGTTTTTCTTTAAAAGAAACCAAACAGAATTGCCTTAATAATAACAGCAATTGATTTTACTACTCTTTTTCTCATATACTGTATACAAATTAAAGAAAACCCTTTTTTTATCATTAGGCCTGGCTCAGTGGGGGTAACATCTCAGCTAATTTTTAAAAATCAGAGTGTGGTTCCCAACATAACAGATACATTGGATACCCTAAAACAAGGGCTTGATGAATACATCATCTTCTTGAATGTCATCATATCCAGTATTTCTGCTGGTGAGTGTCACAATCTGTTTTCTGTTTTATCTTTAATCTTAAGGAAAGTGTTCTTATTATAAGAAAGGGTTGTATTTTGTAAATGCATTCAAATTGATCATCATGCATGAACTGTCTTTTTAACATAGAACCACGAAATTTCACCACATCCACCATTGCTCCGAACACCCCAACAGGTGCAACAACGATGGTAAGCAGTCAGTTTGCTACAACGATATCATCTGGCAGTGCAGTGCCAAGGAGCAGACTCACTGAAGTGGTCACTTTCCTTCTTTTCATTCTCATTAAAATCATTTTGATAGGACTGTAATATATTTCTTTGATTTTATAGCTAATTAATTTTTGTAAAATTGTAATGACTAACTGAATATTTGTACAAATGTGCACAATACAATTCTGTATGAAGTTATTTAAAATGTAATCTATATAGAGTTATAATATAATTGAATGACTAAATTCAACAATAAATTAAATGTACTATATGTATTCATGTAAAAAGATTTAAAGTTATATGTATTCTTTTCAATTGACTTGTGAGTTTACTGATAATGATGTCCAAAATAAATTATAGTAACAGTAAAATATTAATATTGCAAACAGAAACAATTATGTTACATAAGATTTTTGTATTTTTTTAATGTTAACAATTTACACTGCTGTAATATCAATAGTTCATTTAGGACTATCTATTTTTCTTTTATGTCAATGTATATGGTACTATATACTGTTAAGATAATTATACAAATAATTAAACATTCTTTAATCAATCAAGTCTGTTTTTTATTACATTTTCAAGTGATTGTAATTTAAGATAACTAGGGTTTAATAATTAAATTAAAGATTATTTTAAAAAAATGCAAAAATGTGAGAAACAGTTTTTACTAATACTGTCATATCCATTGGGAGTGTTAGTTTATTCTTCGTAATCTGTACTGGCTCTTTTAGATTTTTTTTTAAATATTTATTTGTATGTAATTTTAAAAAGAAAATTCTCACTGCGATCAAACTATCCCGTTAAATGTTTTTAATCCGTGATTACAAATAAAGAGTCCCTGACATAGGCCACTTGATTCACAAATCTTACATTGTATTATCCAGTAGCATCATACAGTATCTTTACTGATCCTACCTTTTGACATTTTACACATTGATATTTTACATGTGTAGCCTATTTCCTAGTGTGCTGACTGTAGCATATTGACATATAATCCTAACTGATTTGGTTTAAATGTGTTATTGCGCTCGCTTGCGCCATCTTGTGGGCATGGGAGACAATACGGTATTATTTTCCTGCAACATTAGGTAAGTTATTGCCTTTAGAATTTGAACATAATTCGAATTATGCTAATATTTAAGAAAGAAATTCGCATTTAGCTTTTCAGCCATTTTGACAGACCTAATTCACAACCATTGGAGTTCAACAAGCCGAGAAACATTATCAACAGGTTGGGGAATTCTGCAGACATAATAACAGGAAAACCGACAACAAATTATGCGTTTTATATTTGTTTAAATAATAGGTTGCGCAACTAAATCAAATGTGTCGCTCCGTGAACTCTACGATCACAATTTACCTCGGGTAACTTCGTCAGATTTGATGTCGATGCACGTGCCTTGGTGGAGAGGCAGACAGTGAGGCCCCGGCGTGTATACACAGATTAAGAAACTGTTAAATAAAGCTAATTAAGTATTTCGATTTAGACCGTGTTCTTTTGTTTTAAAACTGGAGACGCAGCAGCGGAATGAGAGGAGTAGCCTACCTAACTTACCTCAAACTTACCTCAAAGCCATCTCTACCATCTGTTTGAGGTAAAACAACACTTGTCACAACACTTCTTCTAACATGGATGCCAGAAACAAAGAAATCACTACTGGCTGCCATGTGAACTGTTTTTGGTGAAATTTTGCAACGTAAGCCCTAACTTTACAAAATTAACATAACAAAATTATGTTACCTGGTGCCACGAAAAACATTTAGTAGCCTATGTTTTTAATAGGTGCCCTCTGGCATTTAAAATCAAATCATACAACATATTCCATACCAGATGGGGGCAGTATACCTCCAGAAATACCTCTACAGCCACGCGCGCACTCATGTCTTCAAACAATACGGGCGAGCGCTGTGTTGCTCTGTCTCCCTCGTGCATATTAATCAAATCAATTGACACGATAGTAAAAGGTTGGAAGACCGCAGTTTCACGTGGAGCATTTGAAGATTTTTACAGATTAGAGACTAAATGAACAACATCTCAATAATTAATTATAAAGGCCGTCTCATAGACAAGTCGGTGCATTTCGACGATATGGGAAAATTAAAGCCCAGGCTATTATTTCTAGTTTTATGATATTCGTTTTGTTCATATTACATTTTTATCATTAGTTTTAATTAATTTGACAGACAGCATTCCCTGATGTGGACCAAGCTAGCGTCTTTCAGAGCTGCCAACTCTCACAACACTTTTCACACACTCTCACGCCACACATCAATTTTGTCATGCACAGAAAAGGACACGGAGACCGATGTCAGCTCTCAGATTCTGTTAATTTTATTACGCAATTCAAACAATAAATACAGTTTTGGCGCTTTACACAACAGATCCCTAACGCACGTGAACTGATCATCTCTACTAGCTAATAGGGATGGGGAAATGAAGCTTCATGAAGCAATGAGGCTTTCCCCTGACTGTTCCTAGCCTGGCTGCGCCCTCCTACGCACTTCCGCTCAATTTCATTTTACTTCAGTACTACAAATGAAATGTACTAGAGTCTGGTTGAACCAGGCTAGACTGTTCCGGGAAAAGATTCAAAGCTTCGAGAGTGTCGAGAACAGCGCCATCTGGTGCTTATTTAAAATAAAGCAGCCAGAAGCTCTGGCAGATGAAGCAACCACAACACACGACACTACAGAGTTTCAATGTTATGTGTACAAATAAAAACCTTACATGTTTGTGTTTGATATGTTCATTTGATAAATTCATTTTCCCATTAAAGTGTATATAATATAAGCTTAAGTGCAAAGATATAAGCTTAAGTGCAAAGATTTTACAAAAACAAAAAGACAAAACAAAAAAGAAGACTAAGTAGTGAAAAATAAATGTTGGTTATTTAATGAATTATATTTATTAACTTTCAAAGTACAGCACTCTCCTCAAACACCCATCAACCAGACTGAGGCAACATTGACTCGTTAAAGTTCGAGCCTTCTGACACCCAAAGCGAAACTCGCACGTCATCGGACAGAAAGTGAGGCTTCGTTTGTCATCGATCACGTGACTCTGGGAAAACCAATACACACCACGATACGGGGCTTCACTAGAAATTGTGTCGCATATGTGATACGCGCATCGAAGCTTCAGTGTCATACGTAACATCACTACTAGCTAATGGTAAAAGAACACGAACACTGTTGAAAGATACAGTATGTTACAACTTACCAAAATGTATTCCTCATGCATAATATCAACCAATCATTTTTTTTTAACTCTTCCCTGAACTGAAATGTAGTAGTGGGCTGTATTTTCCATGTATTTTCTGTATTGGCGCGACTCAAGGCCAATTTATACTTCTGCGTAGGGTGCGCGCAGTAGGTACGGCGTAGCATACGCACAGACGCGTCCCATGCCGCGTACCCTTCACCGTCGCCTGACGCGCACCTCTTCAAAAATGTAACTACACGTCGCGACGACGCAGACCGCAAGATCGGTGATTGGTCGGCTTGGTAGCATTGCATTTCCTCCTATGCATTTCCGCACGTACCTTCTCACGTACCTTCTCGCAACACAGTGGAACATTAAAACCCTCCGCCGCCAACTAGCGTATCGGAGCAGTACTGCAGAGCAACCAAGACCTGAACGCAGAAGTATAAATGCTCACAACGGCGTCGCCTACGTGCGTAGCCAACGCCGTACGTAGCCAACGCCGTACACTACGGCGTACCCTCGACGCAGAAGTATTTAAATTGGCCTTCACTCGTGTACGCGTTTGGCTGGTGGTAACGTTGCCCGCCCGCATACCGCCTCCCATGGCCGAAACTGGTATTACGACACCTGCGGGCCGGGGCTAGTAATTTAGGATGCTAATTCAGGTTAATATCTCGGAAGCACTATAACTTGTCATTTTTTTTAATGACATCATCAACCTTATTTCTTCTCATTCTCTTGATGCGTGTAGCTCATTTTTGGGATATTTTAACCTCAATTTTTACAGATGGCACCTTTAAAAAAAAAAAAAACATGCTCAACCAAATGGTTGATTTTCCACATAATGGTTAACTGTCGCCTCCCTTTTTGAGAATGGACATTAAAGCACTATTAAAACTGGGTTGTAATTCAAGAATGGTTTAGAATATATAGACCTAAGTTTGGTCTTGTTTTAAAGAAAACACTCAGCGGATTATTGCTGAATTTAAAATTATGGAAGTTTAAATTGACAGTAAATCAAATATACTATACTTATCTTTATTTTATTTTATATAAAATATATATTTTACAAAATATTTTTTACTATAAATTCAAAGTCATATATCTAACCAAGTTTGCCTAGTTTCTAAAATTGAAGTTCCCATGAGATTTTGTTTCGATGTAACACCAAAAACAGCCCCCGGGTGACACATCCCATTGAATTTAATTGTATGCATTCTGTCTAATAAATTAATACATTTCTGTCCTAATATCACTTCCGTCACAAAATATGGAACCTTGAGACAATATGTTTTGTCAAAATTAGAAAAAGGTTTGATCATAAATTATGATGGGAAAATAAAAGAAAAATCCCATTGCTCTACCACACGTGACGGCGTGTTTCTTGAAACATAAAAGCCTAAAATGCCATTATATTACTATTTTTTGCTCTTTTTTGTTTGCTTTTAAATGCAGAAAGAATGTAATGTCTTTGGTTTTCTTACTTTTAGTTATTTGTGTTATTTATTTTATTTCATTGTTAAAAAAACAAGAAAACATAATTTCCTGAGTTAAAATGAAAACCTGAAATATTGAATGGCTTTATGGCAAGATTCAATGTACAAAAAATGTGTTAAATGTGTTTTTTAAATAAATTAGTATTAATATTAATTAGTATTATTATTAAATTAGTATTAGGGTGTGTTTTTATCATTAACAGTTTAAATAACAAATTATTTTCATGCTACTAAGAAAAACAATGTGAGGTTGACTGTCTATTCACTGGTTTGATTTGCCGACACATAGACAAAAAAAGAACTTCTGACTATACATCAATCAATACATATCAGAAATCACTAGTGACAGATCAGACATTAGAATTAACACAGTTACTTACATGTTGTTGCATTATTGTCGAGTCCATATTGCAAAAATCTGTTTGCAAAGCCTGCTCAGTGAAATATACAGGATAAAAATAAACAATGCTCAACTGAGACATTGACATACCGGTAGTCCTTGCATTGGGACCCTTTGGTTGGTAATGTTATTTTTGTTCTGCGATCCTTTATTGCTCTTCTCTCCTCGTCATCTCACCAACACACCAGTGGTTGTATTTAGTAGCCATTGATTTTCTTCTTGGTTTTCACCTGTGACATCATAGGCACATTCCACTGGCTTGGTTAAATACCAGGTCTGTAACTTACAGGATATTCTTATAGTATGATGACCTCTTATCTGTCAAAAGCAAAAGGAAATTTTGATTTCTCAGTTCATGATCCCTTTAACTTGACACAGTGTTTAAATATCAAAAAATATGGTGTGTGTGTGTCAATGGCAATGCCATGTTTTGTCTCAAGTAATGATTATATACACTCACCGGCCACTTTATTAGGTACACCTGTCCAACTGCTCGTTAACACTTAATTTCTAAGCAGCCAATCACATGGCGGCAACTCAGTGCATTTAGGCATGTAGACATGGTCAAGACAATCTCCTTCAGTTCAAACCGAGCATCAGTATGGGGAAGAAAGGTGATTTGAGTGACTTTGAACGTGGCATGATTGTTGGTGCCAGAAGGGCTGGTCTGAGTATTTCAGAAACTGCTAATCTACTGGGATTTTCACGCACAACCATCTCTAGGGTTTACAGAGAATGGTCCGAAAAAGAAAAAACATCCAGTGAGCGGCAGTTCTGTGGGCGGAAATGCCTTGTTGATGCCAGAGGTCAGAGGAGAATGGCCAGACTGGATTGAGCTGATAGAAGGGCAACAGTGACTCAAATAACCACCCGTTACAACCAAGGTGGGCAGAAGAGCATCTCTGAACGCACAGTACGTCGAACTTTGAGGCAGATGGGCTACAGCAGCAGAAGACCACACCGGGTGCCACTCCTTTCAGCTAAGAACAGGAAACTGAGGCTACAATTTGCACAAGCTCATCGAAATTGGACAATAGAAGATTGGAAAAACGTTGCCTGGTCTGATGAGTCTCGATTTCTGCTGCGACATTCGGATGGTAGGGTCAGAATTTGGAGTCTACAACATGAAAGCATGGATCCATCCTGCCTTGTATCAACGGTTCAGGCTGGTGGTGGTGGTGTCATGGTGTGGGGAATATTTTCTTGGCACTCTTTGGGCCCCTTGGTACCAATTGAGCACCGTTGCAACGCCACAGCCTACCTGAGCATTGTTGCTGACCATGTCCATCCCTTTATGACCACAATGTACCCAACTTCTGATGGCTACTTTCAGCAGGATAATGCGCCATGTCATAAAGCTGGAATCATCTCAGACTGGTTTCTTGAACATGACAATGAGTTCGCTGTACTCAAATGGCCTCCACAGTCACCAGATCTCAATCCAATAGAGCATCTTTGGGATGTGGTGGAACGGGAGATTCGCATCATGGATGTGCAGCCGACAAATCTGCGGCAACTGTGTGATGCCATCATGTCAATATGGACCAAACTCCCTGAGGAATGCTTCCAGCACCTTGTTGAATCTATGCCACGAAGAATTGAGGCAGTTCTGAAGGCAAAAGGGGGTCCAACCCGTTACTAGCATGGGGTACCTAATAAAGTGGCCGGTGAGTGTATATAGAAGCTACTTAAATGGCCTAATTGAACTTTTAGGCCTGCCCGTGAAACCAGGCCTTTGTGTTATATTGATGTTAACATGATTATAATTTTGCTTATGCCACTAAATGTTTTAGTTAAGCTTCACTAGACAACACACACACACACACAATTGTACACGTTCAGTTGTTTGTTGCAAAGATGAATATCTTCAGGAACTACTGTAGATTTATAGCACTTTCCAAGGTTCTTGCGTACCTCCACTTTGTTAAAAATTGTATATTTTTGGAGAAAAGTAAAGGCAAATTAACCCTAATCAAAGTGAATCATATCCCATTTTCAAACACTGATAAAAAGGGTTCCTTCATTGGTTTGCTCATTATTTCAATATATTCCTGTTCAGAGTGACCCTGACGGTTACTGTATTTATTCTCATGTCATTTTACAGTATAGTCTTGGAGGAAATAAAAGATAAACTCACCCCCCAAAAAATCTGTGCATTCTATCACTTCCACCTTATTCAAACATTCATAAAGTGTTTCTTCATAGGTTTGCTGTTCATTAGTTTAATGGACAGACAGCTATACAAGCAAGCTATTTTTCTGTTGTGCTTTTAAAAACATTGGACTGTTTGTTGGAGTGATCTAAAATGTCAATTGGCTCATCCTCAGTGATATTAAGTTTGAACTAACTGGAATAAGGTGTTACTCTTGAGGCTTATGGAGGTGTAGTTCTTCACTATTGCCAACTAAACCCCTTATTCCAGTTAGTTCAACCCCACTATCACAAAAGATGTTGAGGAGCCAGTTGACATAACTAGATCACTCCAACAAACACAACGTTTTTAAAAGCACAACAGAAAAATGGCTTACTTGTAGCTGTCGGTCCAATAATAATGGAAGAAAGCATTAGCAATGGAAAATGACACTTCATTTATAAACAATTTCAAATACCACACAGCCAAATTATGTAGTATAAAATGTTTAATTCTCAAACCATCAAACAACCACAATTAACAGAAGTAAAAAAGGACTCCTCACCAATCCCTTGGAACAATAAAAATAAAATACACAAATGGAAAAGAGGCTTTTAGGGCATGATCATATGAAAATAAAATGGGCGGTTCTCTCTTCCGCTGTCATAGATACTACACCGAGACACAGATACGCAGCGCTGGACAACCACCACCATCACTTCAGCACACATCTAGCTCATCTGGACTGCTCAACTAGAGAGAGGTAGAAGCCAAAAAAGAAAGCATTAGGAGCAGGGATGTCAATTCACAAATTCCCATAATCAATCGTGGTTTGTATTAACGATCAATTAATTGTTAACCTCTTAAATCGAAAGTGGGTGCGCAACCAAGATATCGCGTAACTCGTTTAACCAACACAAAAAAGGTGTCATTTTAAAGCTCAGAAGTTTGGCTTTACAGTGAATGACCATGACTATCACTTAACAATTTGCTGACATATTAAAAGTGCTCCATTTTCATCACATGAAAAATAAAAATAACTGCTTCACATGAAAATTTGATCTGTAAAATCTTAGTTCATAACAGATAAATCTGTCATATATTGTAGAAAATATCGTCGGATTGAACAATATGTCTTCATGCTCTGCTATAAACGTATTGATTACAGAGCTAGGCTTGCCAGTGACTCTTTAAATCCCAAACATTCAGTGTCTGGGATGCACAAAAGCACTTGAGTCACTATGCATTGGAGCTTTTTATATTATGATAGTTTTCTACAAAAACATACATCAGATGTATTTGTTCTATCATATCTATCATGTTTGTATGCCAGTTACAGAGCTGCCAATCTTGAAATATTTTGAGTAGCATCAGCTTGGGGAGGGGGGGTTTCATATTTTTGTCACTATTTTTTAAGAAAGCAAGACACACATAAACATGCCCATCTTTATAATTGTAGTGTTGACTTGAAGTTTAAGTTAAGGCTACTGTCATTCCGAGCCCTCCCTTTTTAAATGTACAATGTATATATAAAACATTTCAGCCTATTTTCTTAATTTATAATGAAGCAGTGTGTAATTCACAAGTTAATGAAGTATAGATCTCGCTTAAAAAAAAAAATCTATTAATTTTGGATTAGCAGATACTCAAGGTATGATCAGGCCATCTCCATCTTAAAGGAGTAGTTCACTTTTTAAAAAAAAACTTTTGCTGATAATTTACTCACCCTCATGTCATCCAAGATGTCCACGTCTTTCTTTCTTCAGTCGAAAAGAAATTAAGGTTTTTGATGAAAACATTCCAGGATTTTTCTCCATATAATGGACTTCAATGGGAACCAAACAGTTCAAGGTCTAAAAGACAGTTTCAGTGCAAACTGTTCAAATGGCTTTAAACGATTCCAGACAATGAATAAGGGTTCAAGCGAAAAGATCGCTCATTAAAAAAAAAAAATTAAGTTTAAGTTTTATAAGCTCAAATGCTCGCCTTGCTCTGTTCTGCGATGCAAGTTCGTGACTCTCCTGTTCGAACTCGTTCATCAAAATGAACAAATCTTTTTCCGAGTCAATTAGTTCATTTCGTTTGTTGAATGAACCAAATGACTAGAAAAAAAGATTCATTTTGATGAACGAGTTCGAACAGGAGAGTCACGAACTTGCATCGCAGAACAGAGCAAGGCGAGCATTTGAGCTTATAAAACTTAAACTTTTTTTATTTGTTTGAAATGACCAATCGTTTTACTAGATAAGACCCTTATTCATCGTCTGGAATCGTTTAAAGCCCTTTAAACAGTCTGCAGTTTGTACTGAAAGGGTCTTTTGGACCTTGAACCATTTGGTAACCAGTAAAGTCATTATACAAAGAAAAATTCTGGAATGTTTTCATCAAAAACCTTAATTTCTTTTTCGACTGAAGAAAGAAAGACATTGACATCTTGGATGAAATGGGGGTGAGCAAATTATCAGCAAAAGTTTTTTTTTTAAAAGTGAACTACTCCTTTAAACGCACAAAAAGATCAACATAACTAGAACATTTAAATGCACATTTCTTACTGTAGGTGGAGATGTCGATTTCCTCAGGCAACTCCGCTACGTTGACTTCAAAACGGTCCTGCACATCATTCAGGATCTTTGCATCAGTCTCATCTGATACAAAGGTGACAGCCAATCCTTTTGTGCCAAACCTTCCAGCGCGAGCAACCTAAAAGATAGAATAAGTTTAACACTTGTCCATGTTTCCAAGCCCAGCCCTAGTTTTCATCTTGAGGTTGGGCAGTCATTACACTTCTAGTATTGGTGAAAAGTAGAATGCCACAGCGCATGACGCATTAATACCCTGTGTAGGTATGTGTCGGAGTCCTCAGGCATGTCATAGTTGAAAACTATATTAACACGCTCAATATCCATCCCACGGCCAAACAGATTCGTAGCCACCAGGATCCGCCGTTGAAAATCTTTAAACTGTTGATACCGAGACAATCTGCAGGGGAGAGAACGAGAAATGACTTCAGAATTTGCATTTCTCACCCAACCATTGCAACATCATGGGCTCAACAAGTGTCGTACCTTTCTTCCTGTGCCATTCCCCTGTGGATCGCAATGGCTGGAAAATTCTGTTCCACCAGCAGCTGAGACAGAGCCACGCAGCGTTGAACTGACTTGACAAATATCACCACCTATATTACATCCAAAAAAAAACATTTGAGATGACAAGGGCCCACTTTCAAAGCCAATGACTGTAAAAACATGATGAAATGACAGTCACCTGGTTGAACTCAAGAACGTCAAGAAGGTCAAACAGTTTGCGGTTCTTTTCGCTGTCTTTCAGTTTGGCATAGTATTGCTGAAGACCATGGAGCGTAAGCTTAGTCTCATCATCAACAAAGACCTCCATTGGCTGTAAGAAGAGAAGAACCTTTACATTTCAGAACACCTTGGATCAAACGGTATCGGATTAGTTTGAGGACCGTGGGCAAAAACTCCATTTGAACATTAATAAGGAAAAGAGAAAACGACTCACGTCTTGCATGAATTTGCGACAGACTGGTCTGATCTCTTTGCTTAATGTGGCGCTGAACATCATGCACTGCTTCTCGTGAGGTGTCAGTCTGAAGATATCCTGGACATCCCGTCTCATATCTAATACACAATCACACACAGTTAGACCTCTTAACTGGGAAAACATCTACCTCCATTTAGCAGCCTATGAAATAAAAAAATAAAAATAAAAAACGCACCCAGCTGCTCCAGCATCTTGTCACATTCATCCAAAACAAAGTGTTTGACATTTTTGAGGTTCAAGGTCTTGTTGCGAATGAGGGCAAGGATCCTCCCTGGTGTTCCCACCACGATGTGAGGGCAGCTCTTTTTCAACACGTCCTCGTCGTTTTTAATGGACAAGCCGCCAAAGAAAACGGCACACTTAACGTTGGACATGTACTTGGAGAAGCGCTCGTACTCTTTACTGATTTGGAAGGCCAGTTCACGTGTGTGGCACATAACCAACACAGAAACCTGCAGGGAAGACAATGACAAATAACTTTTTTTTTACTTTGCGTCACTATCCATAACTTCCACAAGAGCTGATACTAGTTTTGATCCAAGATAACTGTCTGCAATGGGGTTGAAAACCACTGCATAGACCCTGATGAAGATAAATTATAGCCTACTGATGTTTTTTTTTTTGCAATTGGGACATTTTTGAGAAATAAATAATTTATTGGAAAACTGTTTTAGTCCAGCCAATCTTACACTAAGGCAAAAAGTTCAGATTCTCTCATGACAATGAGCACCAACAATCCTAGATAATTTATCCGTTTTTGATTGCAAGAAACACACACCTGCCCATCCACTGGCTCGATCTGTTGGAGTGTGGCAAGCACAAACACAGCAGTTTTTCCCATACCAGACTTTGCCTGGCACAGGATGTCCATGCCCAGGATGGCTTGTGGAATGCACTCATGCTGGACTAAGGAAAATAAAAGAAAAATACGTTAATGAAGAAAAGGAAAAAAAGCAATTCAAAAAGTTCTAATGAATGTCAACATAAAGTAGCTTTAACAGAGACCTGAACAAGAATATTCTTATAACAGTTAAAACTTAAATACAACTTTTACATGAACTTTTCCCTTTAAGAGAGAGAGCGGTCATGCACACTCAAAACACACACAAAACTGCCTCAGAAATAGCTTGCAAGTTAGCAGTTTTGGGCCCTATGAAAGAATATGAGATCAGGCCCCCTACCACATCCATTCCATTAATAAAACCGATCTTGCCTTTTCTCGGAGCGCCCTTGCTCGCAAGTACCAAATTTAGTTATTTGTGTTGCTAATTGCGAGGAATGCTCACCCAAAAATGTACATCCGATCACCCTCGAGTACTTACAACTCCATATAAATGTCTTTCTTCTGCTGAATACAAAAGATCAAAGACCTTTTGAGGGATATGGCTAACCAAACAGTTGATGGGGCCCATTTACTTCGGAGAAGGGGGGAAAAAAATACTATGGAAGTTAATAGTGCCCATCAACTGTTAAGTACAGAATTTATTTTTGGGTGAACCATCCCTTTAAATGATTAAACACAAACTTACATACCTACTAATATCATATGTGTTAAATTTATGCAATGTAACGTTACTCTAAAACCATTCAACTTTTACACAAATCCTCACCCTCAGAAGGATGCTCAAAACCACAGTCGACGATCGCTCGGAGCAACTCTGGTTTCAGGAGGAAATCGCGGAAGCCGGAGCTGTGAATGGAGACGTACGAGCCCTTCACCTCCTTCTTGCCGGCTGGGACGACAGCGTCCACGGCGGTCTGCGGCTCCTCGTCTTCTTCGTAGTCCAACAGCTCATTATCAACATCGTTTTCGGCCATGGTTACTTTGGGAGCAACAAGAGGGAACGCAGAGATGTAAATAACACGGTTTGGCCAAGTATACAGATCAATACTTACTAACACGGAAAAAAAATGCAGCTCAGTTTAGCTAACGTAACGTTAAGCTAATGAATGGATATATTACGGCGTAATCGTGCTCATCGAAACTATCTACTATAACTTATATTGTTTTTTCAATCAGTTCTACCCACATAAGGTTAAAGCTGGAACGTAACCATGATGGAAGTTGCTATACGTTTAACTTGCTCCAATTTAAGTTAGCCGATTGACTGGCTGCCGCTCAGCGTGTGACTTAGACAATAGAGCCGCCATTCGCTGTCCCACCTAAACCGATCTTCTTATCTAACGTTAAACCAGCGACACAATCCGCATTTTTCAACAATACGTAGAATATACATGACTATAAATATATTTGATACATAGAAAGACGTGAAATACGAAACGGTTGAGACGCAAATGGGTTTTGTGTTCGCGTTTAGGCTTTGAGCCTTGCAGGCTGCACCGCGCGAGAAACGCGAGGTACTGTTCGTTTAGATAACTTTACTTAGGTTGGCTACACAAATTCTCAATAAAATAAGGTTGAATCCGGAAGAAAATGGCATTAATTATCCCACGTTTAACATTAAGGTGAGTAAATGTATAAGAAAAAAAACACAAATTACCTTTCGACGTTGGTATTGAACGTCGGCTCTCAGGAATCGTGTGGTTAGGCCTTAAGTTTATAGCGCTTCCCGGATATAGAAACCGAGCACTCCCATTGGCTGGATTCAACGTCAATGACGGTTGAGAAGAAGCGCATGCGTACGATTGGGTAACACGAATGTGCGTCAGTGTTGTGGGCGGGTTCTAAAATAATTATCCGACTCGCCAGCCTTCATACTCTAAAATGGCCACACGATGTCATTATATGCATTCTGATTTTTGGCCTTCAAATGACAATGACAAGTGCGACCTAAAACTCGAAGACCTCGTTAAAAAATATTATCCCCTTAAAACGGTTTTGGAATTTAAAAACCGAAAAAAGAAAACTATAAAAAAAAGTTTTGTTTATACAACACTAAAGCCAGAGTAAACAAAGCTCTGTTGTAATAAATGTCAGATTTTCAATATTATCAAGGCATTAAAATAGACAATACAGAAAATAAATGGCTTGCCATTTGGGTACAAATAAAACATAAAACAATATAGTTGTGGAATTTATTTATACTTAAATTATGGAGTATTAAAAATAAATTACTAAAATATAAATGCCTACTATGTGACACTGACTGAACTCAAGTTAAATTTCCTTTGAATGCTCTGTCAGACATTCTGAAATTCTGAAACATGTTTTCTATTATTTGTAATAAAAATGCAAAACAAACATTTTCGCGAGTGATTTCACAACCATGTAGAATTCTCTATAGAACTAGCTCGGTTCACTTAACGAAGAGAAGAGCGGATAATTAATAAACCTTCAAATATTACATGTACTACATTTTAGGAAGTAAAAAGAAGATGCCTCTTGAGAAAAAAATATATATATATATTGCCATTTTGTATATGATTTATGTGACATTACAGTAGTTATTATGGTACAAAATCATCTTTAGAAGATAATAAACCGGACAAAACTGTCTGAACAGTAACAACAATCAACACCGCAACATCACCTGCCCGCTACCCACTGTGGCTGAGGTTGAGAACAATAAAGGATTGGTGGGATGAGCTGTCAATCATGGCTAATTCCAGTTTAGTCTATGCTCCCATTGGTCAAACGTTTGTCAATCACACGAGGTCCGCTGACGTTAGAACATTGCACTACGGTCCATTTTGAACGAGACCATGAAATAAACGGAAAGCAAATACACATTATGGATTGGTTCTCATCTAATATTTATTGTAATAAGCTAGATTATGATTGTCAGCATTGTAATTAAATCACGGCAGAGATAGTAGGCGGGACCTGGGCGGGGTTTTCTCTTGTAGGCGTCGACCGCAGCTCTCCTTGAGGAAGCTCGCCCTGACGACTCATATTTTCCTCTAGATGAGCATCCACATCCAATAAATCCAATATGGTGCCATATTCATTTCCTGCCTTGCCGTAGTGGTCCAACGGCTTCGTACAAGAAAGGATTTCCGATATCTGCCGGTTTTGTGAGCGATCATCTTTAATATGGCAAGATCGCCGGAGCAGCTTCAGCAATGAGACCGAAATTCAGGTGGGCATTGCTCTATGCATTTTCCATCACTGACAGTGTGCGGTGGCTGCTTTATTATGTGTGCACTCATCTATTGGTATACCACCTTTATTTTAAAAAGGTTAATCGGGGTGATATGACATAGAGAGGTATTCCAGGGAAAAGCGGGGAAATTCCAGCGCATCACACTCGTGCTCCCATCTCTGGACCAGCAGCGCTGATTTGCCTGCCTGTCCATCTGCTTGTTGCCACGGGGGAAAAAAATCTTCATCCACACCCCTTATTATCGTACACGGAAGCAAATTTGATTGTGACCTAATTTAATAGCTTGTCATCAAAATACTCATTGCGTGTAAGTAGCCTGCCACCATTGTGCTTTGAATTCAGTGCAGATATTCTCCAATGCAAAGGCGCTTTTATTTAATGTCAATAACGCTGCACAGTCGGAACTGTCATATCAACAAAAATCCCTTCGCAAGTGCAAATAAAATGTGTTACTAATCCATTGCACACCTATAGTAAGAACTGGCATCCCCCCTAGTGGTGCATTTGCATGCGGTTTTGCTGAGTCCGGTCTACAGGCTTTATTGTAGTTGTCTGTAACAGTCGTTGACCATTGGCTGTTTTTAGCCTATCTTCTTGAAAGACCTGAAAAGCTTTTATATATCGCGATGTGAAGCGTAAACATGCATCATGGCTGTCATTTTTTGTCATTGACATTTAGACATTATGGTTAAAACAAAGGAAAAGATGTCTTGGTGAGCTGTTATGTCCTTTTATTGTGGTTTGTCACAGTTTAAGAGATTACTTGTCTGGCTCTTCCTAATGATTAAGGACAGTCTGATTACGTGTTTTGCTGAGGAGGAGGAGAGTTTACTTGTTTAAATCGGTGTTTCATTTATAAACTGTGATTATGCTACCAGCTAAGGGAAAATAAAGGTTTTGGGGATCTCATGTTTTTGTAATTTTCTTTTTAATTCATGATTATATGTGAAAATATGACATCACATCATATGTGTGAGGAAAAAACAAAATAAAATAAAAATGCAACCATTACATTGTTTCAAGAGCCAGACCTGATAAGATAATAGTAACCTCATCTTCTCAGTCCTCTTCATCAAGGCCGTATGTCTTGATTTTGTTTTGGGTTGTGGACTGTATGGTCATATAAAACAGTAAACCAACTAGAATTTCTTGTTAAGGACTTTAAACTATTCGCAAATAATATTAGCATATTCACTCTTAAACTTGTGCCTAATATGCTGAAAAGGTCTCTGTTTATGTTTCTGGTCTTATCACATTCAATTATGAATTACATGAATCCCATGAATATTAGCCTATATGGACTATATTTGATTTAAAAAAAATTGAGTAGGGTAGCAACATGGCTATTTACCCCGGTGCGCTTTTAGTCCCATTGTACCCTATTACTGTCAGTTGTTTAACATTTCTGTCATAAAACAGTTGTCATATTAAATGTTTAGCTACTTGCATCTTACCCTGCACTCTTCACCTTTAAAGGACAACTCCGGCGCAAAATGAACCTTTGGTCTAATTACACATTGCTACCTAGTGAACCGTTTTCTGAGATTTGTTTTCATGATTGCCGAATGTAAATAGTTTTATCTCTAAAAACAGCTTAGCCTATAACGCTAGTCTATAGGGCATAGAGTAATGACAAATAAAAATCGCTTGTTATTACCACTAACAAGGCTCAAAATAGCCCCACAGTAACACGACAGCATAACAAGGGTCCCTACATTCAAACCGAAGCATTGAGAACTTTGTCAGTGTCCAAACAGTTTAATAAGAAGATATTTTATACACACAGTCAACTTCGCGAATACAGGAA